ATCTCCACCATACACAATGTAGCCCTTGACGAGCTCTCCAAAATTAAAGAAGACACTAAGGTCAAAATCTCAATCGATAATGAGAGATCAATGAGTAAATGAAGTAGGTGAAGAGTCTTCTAGAGAGAGAGAAGAGAGTAAGAGTTAATGTAGATAGAAAGTGTGAAGTGAAAAGCGATAGAAAAGTGTCTAAGACTCAATTTTTGAAGTGATTCGATACAATTTTCGGAGCAGACTGCGGACAGACCACTCTAGTGACCAAACTTGCGCTCAAGCGAACAATACCCACTCCCAGAATCTCCACTCCCTTTTGTAAAAGACCGTTCAAGCGATGAAAGCTTCGCTAGAGCAAAGAATGCATGCTCCTAGAAGTTCAGACTACAAAACGAGATACTGCAATGTCACGCCCCAATTTTTAATTACTCGGAATCATTACCAAAAGCCTTTAATTTAGGTCCTTTTTTTTTTTTGAAAACAAATATCTGTTACCCTTGAGTAATAGAAACATAATAGTACATGTTCTCTCTCTCATGATAAGTACAACAATAATAATAATACATGCCAAGCTCCTGTTACAGAGTTACAAATAAATAACTACGAACATAAATGTATAATGAGATTACACATAAGAGATACATGAACTTCCTAATCCTCCAACCAATCAATCCAAATTCTCTTCTTGTAAAAAAATGAAACAACAAAGGGTGAGCACAATTTCCCAGTAGGAATCTCATAGCTCTAAAACAATAATCATCCTATAGATAGAAATGATCATGCATGCAGGGTGATACCATATAATAAAGTAATGTTTTATAATTTTAAAATATCATACGTAGAGTACCTTTTTCTCAAAATTTAATTGAACATTTAAAGAAAACCTTCAACTATCAAAAACTATCCCTTTTTATCAGAAAATCATAAATCCTTTTTGAAAACAAATATATTTAAGGAACAACATCATTTTAAATTTATTATCCCATTCCAAAATATTCCTTATTTAATTTCCGTCTTAGCATTTCTCTTTTTATTCCCATTCTCCCCTTTTTCTAGTTACATTTATTATAACGTCATAACCTCAAGTTCAGGTTCCCTTAATACTCCAAAACATCACATACATGCTATTTCCACCAATCTATTCATATTTGCTGTAACTCCTCAATGTAGAAATCCAAATCTCATTTATAAACAATTATTGTTATTCTACACCCAGCTCTTACTTGTCTAACAACTACATCACATCCACACTTGCATTATCAATTATGATTCAACAAATCACAAGGATAATGAACCCTTTTAATTCAATTTCTTAATTAATCCCAAAACAAAACTCTTAATTTTTTCTTATAGATACAAACAACCCGGTGAGTTCTTTATCACCAACCCCTTATCCAATTACCATTTCATTATCCATTCTTTTCAAATAATTTCTATATGCATTCCTATTCCATACCAATTTACACATCAAATGGTAACTTCACAAGTTCATCACAAGTCACATATCTCATCACTGACCTCAACACACTTCACAACACATTCCACCATTTGCAGGCTTGATACGGCGGGATAGTGGGCACCCAATTCATAGCACATTCCACCTTTTGCCGGCTATTATACGGCGAGAAGTGAACTCCCAAAAATCATTTTCCCAAAAACCATATCTTTTTTTGAAAACCATTTTCAACTTTTTAAAACTATCCCCTACATTTGCCGGTTATTATACGGCAGGACATGGGCACCCAAAACATTTTCGAAAACCATCCGTTTTTACACTTTTGCTGGCTACAATACGACAGGACTGTGTGGACATCCAAAAATTATTTTTCCACCTTCGCCGGCTACAATACACCAGGACTGTGTGGACACCCAAAAATATTTTTTCCACATTCGTCCAGTGATAAGCCTAGACAGGGCAATTGGGCACCTTGAATTCAAACCACCTCCTACATTTACCAGCTATTATATGAACAGTCGTGGGCAGTGAAAAAACTATTTTTCAATTTTTAAAACCATCCCCCACATTTACCAACTATGATACAAACGACCGTAAGCACCAAAAAATCATTTTTCAACTACCCGCGCGGGTACCAACCACAACACAACCCAATACAACACAACTCAACTCCACACAACACAACTCAACCAAACTCAACACAACCCAACTCAACTCAACACAACATTACCCAATACAATTCACATAACACACAACAAAATTCAACACTACCATTTCAACACAAAGCTCATATCATCCATACCATTAATAATTTCTTTTCCCCCAAGTTTAGTTTCATACTATAACATAATTTAAAACATCAACATTAAGAGTTCAATTGCAACTTTTACCTAAAATTTTCAAACTCTTTAACATTTCAATTAAACTTGTACATGTGTAATTTAAAACCTCAATTTCATGATTTTACTATTAATTGAAGCAAAAACCATTAACCATCTTCGTGAGCTAAACTAGGATTTTTAAGAGAAATTAAGGCCTTTCACAAAAACACATTTTATTCCAACCTTTCTAGTACTCTTACACCCAAACTCATGACCCAAGATCATAACCCAACAAGTAAACCCAACTCTCTTCAAACCCTAACCCCCAATCTTGTGATTCATCCCAATATGCATAAAAATAAAAACTTTTGTATTTATATAAAGAAAATACCAGAAATCTATCTATAAATGAGGGTATTGAAAGAGAACTAGAAACCCCTACCTCTTGAAGCAAGAAATGAACCCAAAATTCACCGACGACGAAACCACGAACTATTCAAATCAAAATGAAGCCCTTAACAGCCCTTGACAAGCTCTACACTTAATCTCAAAGGAGCAAGGTAAAAAGATCACTCTAGGTGAGTAGATCTAGAGATTTAGGTGAAAAAGTTTAAGTTTTAGAGAGAGAGAAGAGAACTCACGGTTTGAGAGAGAGGAAAGAGGAGAAAAAGTGAAATGAATATATGTTTGGAGCTTATTTATAGTAGCAAGGTAATAAAAGAGTTTTAAAGGTAACAACTTTTTGACAAAACAAGCGCGAACAAACAAACCAAACAAGTTTAAATCGATTTATACTCCTCCAAAACCAAGATATAACAACACCAAAGATTCCCAAAATAAAATAAAGGATTCAAATACACTTTTCAAAAGTTTTAAAGGGTACAAGTGTTACAGGAAGGTCGATTTCACTGCTCGAGCGACCAAAAGACCGCTCGAGTGGTCTCAACTTGAAGGTGAGACAAAGTAACTACAAAATATTAGCCAACCCTCCTGGTTTCTCTCCCACCCCCAAAAGTACAAGATGACATATTGGAACACACTAAGATGTGCCTACCGGAAGAACCACAAGGAAAAATAGATAACAACACAAGACTCAAAAGGTTTAACAATGATGAAGACAACACAAAGAGACCGAGATTACCAATTAATACACTCAATTTGCTTTAAAGGGTTCAGGACATCACAGAGACTCTTGGGTTAAAGTTGAACCATTTAAAATACGTGGATTGTGTTGAGGGGATTCTCCAGCTGGGTCATTACTAGGTGTTCATGGGTTGGTTTGGTTCGGATTGACATTAAATTTGAAATTAATCCAATCATGATTGGTTTTAGGTTTTTGGATGCAGAACTAAATCAATTATGTACTAAAACCAACCCAAACCAACTGAATGTAGCTCGGGTTGAACCACAGTTTCAATATACAAAAAACAAATAAATCAATCAATAACAAATAATTAAAATAAATAAGTTTTTCATATTTAAACATAACATAAATAAAGAATAAAATTTTATTTAATACATGTCAACAAGTGTGAATAGTATAGCAAAATATAACTTAAACTTAAACACAACCAATACAAATTAAAATCCAACAAGATTTATTTATGATTTGTAAGAAATTATTAAATGTAACTACCATTGTAATAGACTAATTAGGTAAATACATGTTAATATAAATAAAATTTTCTGTTCCCGGTTTGCCTAAACCTAGAACCAACCAATGCTATCAGGTTAATGATTTAAAAACCTAAAACCAAAACAATATACTCAAACACTGAACCAAACCAACCCAACAGCATCGAGTTGGTACGACTCTTTGATTTACTACACCTTAGTTATTACTAACCTGCCTGACCCGAACCAGATTTGACTTTGGGAGCTAGCAGTTACACTGATTGTACCCTCATGACCATCATTCTACAAGACCAAATAGGTGGCCTCCAAGTTCTTCACCAGAATCAGTGGCTTGATGTGCCTCCCACCCCTGGTGCTCTTGTGGTCAACATTGCAGATCTTCTGGAGGCGTATATCCATTCCTTTCAAACTTGATTATGTATTTCAATGGTCCCATTGCATTGATAATGAAGGCAATATTTGAATAGGAGTAGTTTTAAAAGAAGAATGGAAATATGATTTCAATTTTTCATGATTCTATATTTACAATTAGATAAAATAGGAACGTGATTTCTGATTACATACTCTACTTATAAATACCTAAAACTCATAATAATTTTTTTTCCTAAATTTAGTAATTATACATGTCTGTGGCATACAGTTTTTTGACCATTGAGAGCTCATTTTGAACTTATAAAAAATTTATTTAGATATTTAATAATGTTTTGACGATAGCAACCTTTGGGTGTGCAATGTAATTCAAATGGACCCAACTTTACCACCGGGGCGGCAACGGCAGCATAGAAAGACGCTAGCTTTCTACACAGTTGAATAAGACTCGATTCCTGGGGACACAACTAGCATCCTATTTATTTGTTGAAACTAATCATATTGTACTCTGTTTGTGACTCTGTCTCTTGTGTTGAAAGTTGGTGCATTCCTCGTTTATTCTGATGGTGGATTCTTTCCTTTAAGTTGGAATAATTGTGGCCATAATATTGGGTTGCAGGAGTTATAATGATGCCTCCAAAGAATACCGCTTTTTTTGAGTTAAAAAAAAAGGACCCAACTTTAATTTTTGGACCAGGAATAAATGTTTTAATTATTTTTATTATATCCGAGTCTGTTGAATTTTAACCATCTCGGACTTCATTCGAAAAGCATAGCATTAATATTTTTGTCTGAGTGGAATGAGAGACTCCCCTGTTTACCTAAAACTCTCGTCCTACTCTTTTTCTCCCTCATTTCTGCCGAAACAGCAGGGAGACCAGCCCTCTCTTTCTCACTTCGTTTCTCTCTCTGTCTCTCTCTCAAATACGTTATATACATTTCATATTAGCTCATATGTGGGCATTTCAAGTTTGAATGTCGTGAAGTCGAAGAAGGGACTTTTGATCTACTCAACGAGGGTTACCTAAACATGCAAACGGATTCAAGATTGGAGCACTTTGGATTTTCGGGTTTGTGTATTCTTGGAGGTTGGAGGTAGGAATCATGACTAGCACCTCTTAATATGTGTTTATATGTGATTTTTAGTTTGATTTCATATAGAAAATTATATGTTCTTGAGGAAAATCAAACCAAGCTTTTGAGGTTTGGAGACTACTTGTTACATGTTAAACTTTTGTTCAAATCTAGTTTGTATGAGGTGTATATTGATGCTTGGATCAGAAATATTTGATGTATTTGAAGAACCCATGTGTAGATTAATTATCTTCTAATTTAGGTGCTTGAAATTGGAAGAAATGATATGAATTGATTTAAGTTTGAAATCTTGCAAGCTAAGTGCTTGAGTAAATGCCTAGATAAGGTGTCTTGCTGGTTTTGGGTCATGTGAGTGCAAACTTGATAGCTAAGTGTATGGTGCATTATAGGTGTTTGATGAAATGCCTAGGAGGATTTGTTTTGGTTGGAATTGGGTTATTGTGTACAATTTAGATGTTGTGTCTAAGGTTATGTTTAGGGTATTCGTTGGAATGCCTAGCATTGATTAAGTGTCTAGAAGTGAGTCATTAGGTGTAAATTAGGTGATGAGGTCATTGTTGTATAGAGTGTATTCACTATGTGCCTAAGAGAGGTAAATTCTAGTGAGATGTCTAGGTGATGAATTTGACCCTTTGATTCCAAGTGTGTAATATCTCTTGTTGACTAAAATAGCCAAATAGCCAAAAAACCTAAAAAATAGCCACTTCCCAAACAAGAGATATTACACGTGGGTGTTTGGGAAGTGGCTATTTTTTAGGTTTTTTGGCTATTTGGCTATTTTAATTGACTATTTTAGTTTTTGTATTTGGGAAGATGGGATGAATTTTTTTTGTTATTGTTGTATTGAAAAATATGTTTGAAATGATTGTGTAATGCAAAATGACCAAAGTGTCCCTACAAAAAAAATTAAAAAAAAAAGATGTAGTCAATGCTGTGGCAATTAGTACACTGCCACCGCCCAGTTTGTTTCTAATAAATGAAAAAAAGTACATGTTAGGTTCAAAAAAAATTACAGGTTGGTCTGAGGTTGGTATGAGGCGGATGTGTAACCCAAGGGTAAAATAGTCTTTTTACCTGTTAGTGGCATCCAGCTGGACAGCCTCACTGCAGCCTCAGCTACAGTAAGGCTACTTTGCTTTTTTTGACAAGCAGGCTAAAACAGCCTACCCCACAACTCTCCAAACAACGCCTAAGTACCTATGGATGGTAGAACTCTAGTTCAATGGTGTAAGGTGTTGAGTTGCTTGGACTTGAATACTTGACAATTAGCACTTTGGGTACTTGTGTTGAGTTGGATAAGTCAATGAATATTTGGAGTTAGAGATTTTAGAGTGTTTGGTTGTGAGCTAGGTGGGTGGTTTAGCCTTGTATGATAATGTTGGTGGTTGGGCAAAAATGATTAGTCCTTGTGGGATTAGAATGGCTTGTACATTGAAGTTGGCTTTGGGCCTAGAATGATGGTGAGGCATACTTGTTCCCTCTTTAGAACCTTTGTTGGTTGTAGCCTTTGAGACTAGGTGAGTTTGTGTAATTCATTATATGTTTGTTTTGTTACATCATGCACTGTGTTTCCCTTGTGGGACATGGTCGGGAGTGTGCCGGTGGGTGTTATGTAGATTGGAGAGGAAACACTATAACTCTTGATTGAGTAATTATCCTCCTGCATGAGGTTGAGGATGTGGTTATTTGTGGAAACTTGGAATAGGGTGGGATGTGTGAAATATGAAGTTGGTCATCTAGGATGAATGAGGTTTTGTGAGCCTTGGGTAGTGGGGTATGTACGTCCTAAGGGATTGAGTCCCTAAGATTGAGTCTTGGGTAATCGACCCCCTAGGAGTGTATTGAGGTTTATAACGGATTAGGAGCTTAGTGCTTGGTATTAGTTGTAACAACCTTTTGTTAGTTTAACTATGTGGCATATAGTTCACAGGATTGATTATGTGGTTAGCTTACTTGAAACTATTCTTGAATAAATTACCAAATTGAGTAGATGCCTGCTTGTTGATATATATATATATATATATTATACTCCCTCTGTGAGAATATTAGGTGTTATGTATATATGATAGTATATATATTTTGTATATATTAGGGATTGAGTCAATATTCTTGTTTCCTTTTCAGTTCTATGGTTAGATCATTATATAAACTGATGTACTCTTGTATTACAAACAGTGTTTTAAAAAGCTCTAGGGTCATTGAGGCGCTAAGGTCTCTTGGAGCTTAAGGGTGAGGTGCAAGGTGAGAAGTGCGCCTCACTGAAGTGAGGCGCAAGTTGTTGAAGATAACTAAAATATTAATATAGGCGATGTTTTTAACACAAAACAAATATTCTTATAATTTCAAACATATATATATATATATAGAACGACATTCAATATTTCAAACATCATGAAAAATAACATTCAATCTTTCAAAAATAACATTCAATCTTACTTTGCCCTATACTATTTATCTTTTTATCAATTTATTAACGAAATGAAGAAAATTTTTTTTTTTTTAGATAAGGTACTCACACCATATAATACCTTAGTGGTTTTAATTTTAAATCGGAACCAAATTGCCTGATAGTTTCAGTCATTGGTCCGAAACGATTATAATTTACTACATTGAAAGGAATCCCAAAGCCATATATCCATCTTGCAATCCCAGAGCTTGTGTTTAATGCCTAGAGCTTTTTTTGACATGAAAATTAGGACTCAAAGCATGTGTTTACATTTTATATTAAAGGAATTGTAATTCCATATGGTTACACACACAAAGAATAAGGATGGAGCAAAATTTAAATGAAGCGCATGAGGCGTGCACCTCGCACCTAAGCCTAAGGCGTGTGCCTCAAGCGCCTCAAATGCGCCTTTCCTACTGCGCCTCGCCTCAAGTTGTTTGAGGCGCCTCGGTGCATCTTGCACCTAAGTGCGTGCTTAGGCGCGCCTTTTAAAACACAAATTACAAACTCAATTGAATATACAGATTATTCATTTAGAAAACTTACATGGTATCAGAGCTACCTTTGTTTGAACCCTAGATCCGATACTCCAGTTTAGGGCTTCCATCTCTGCCTCTGATTGATCACCGGAGTCGTTCCCTGTCTACATCTTCTGTTTAGACTTTGAATCTCAAAGTCGAAGTCGAAGTCGAAGTCGAAGTCGACTCTCTAATTTGCCATCATTGTCCCTAGTTCACCGTGAGTCTTCTGTTCGAGTCATCTAAGGCTCGCGGTCTCACCCGAAGTTCTCTCATCCTTGGTTCTCCGCCTCGTGATCTCTTCACGAAACTCTAGCCTTGGTTCACGCAGTTGAAGAGGTGTCTGACTTTGTCCTTCTTCTCTCGACTTCAGTCTGTCTCTCTCCTTCGGTTTCTCTTGACTTCAGTCGGCTTCTTTTGACGTCAGTCGGTGGTCTCTAAGTCTGCTTGGATACACTTAAGCCCCTATTTTAGGTGTATTACGCTACCTCTCAATTTTCTATTTATTACACTTCACCCCATCAATTCTCTTCTCTTTTTTTTGGTTTATTACAATGTCTTACACCAAAATCCAAACCATCAAATGCAAACTCACTGATGGCAATTATGCCTATTGGGCTAGTGTTATGAATTTTTTTTTTTTAATCAGAAAAATGGGGCTATGTTTCTGTTTCTGGTTCTGTTCCTCGTCCATCGGACTTGAAGAAGGAAGGACATTTGACTTCCTGTGATACTTGTGATTGTGATAATGCCCAAGTTTTGAACTGGTTTCATAATTTTGTGGATGATCGTATTGGAATGATATTTTTCAAATACAGTACTGCCAAGGAAGTGTGAGATTATTTATTAGGTGTTTATCAACAGTCTAACTTTGTCAAGCGATATGAGTAGGAAACTGCTATTCAGAGTGCTCGTTAGCGGGATCAAACTATTCAGGATTTCTATATTGAGATGACGGGTCTCTGGGATCAGTTGGCTTTCATGAAACCATCTAGCCTTAAGGTACTAGACCCTTATGTTGAGTTTTGAGGAGCAAAATCGTTTAGTGCAGTTCTTAACGGCTCTCTCCCTAGAGTAGGAGATTATCCGTGGTGGTATCCTTTACCGCTCTCCTATTTCCTCGGTGGATGCTATTGTTCGTGAGTTCCTCTCCGAGAAAACCCATCTTAAGATGGCCAGTCAGACTCTGTCTCTCTCTGTCTTCTTGGCTTTTGCTCAACGTCCTCTGTTATTGACCCCACCTTCTCATCAGTTTCAGACCACTATGAAGCCTAAGAAAGGGCCATTAGGTCTAGATGAGTGTGCTTTTTGGCATTAAAGGCGTCATTAGAAGTATAATTGTCCCAAGAAGGAACGTCAACCTGCTCTGTCTTCTCAGCCACCTCAGACACAGTTCTGAGGTCCTGTTTCAAGTACTTTCTGGCCTCCTGTTGCTTACACCGCATTTGCTCTGGCTCTAGACCCTGACTTGGCTTCCTTGAGTGCTCAAATTGCTCAGCTTCAACATATCTTGTCTAACTCTCAGCCATCCCCATCTGCCTCTTCTCTTACCTCTCTTCATTCAGGTTTGCTTGGGTCCTTTTTAGGTATCTCTTCTTCTGTTTGGCTTTTTAATTCTGGTGTCTCTTGTCATATGACTCGAAGAACCATGGCCTAAAACCATGACATGAGGTCAATTTTGTTGGAACTAGTTGGTGAGTAGTTGGATCATGTTGAGCCCATGGATAAGAATTTAATCCAAGAACCATGGCCTAAAACCATTTTAGTGAAATCTTGTTGTTAGACTCTCTTAACAAAATGAAGAAAACCTGTGTCCCATTCAGACCAATCATAAATGACCACCCTTTTTCCCCGTTTCCCTTTTTTCCTTTGGTTATTCAAGTGTAGGAGAATACTAGAGATGAGAAATGAGTTTCTACTTGATAAATTACACTTAGGTTAATTTAGATTTTGCATAATTGATCTCTTGAGAATTGGGGTGTGACAACCTATAAAGCATGGATACGGGTACGGGTATGGGTACGAGTACCAGAACTGGTATGATACAGGTACGTTAATATGATAAAATTCAAAAAAAATAAGATACGGGTACGGCTTAGGCTTGGTCATTTGTAAAAAAATATTTATTTTTAATTTAGAGTTATGAAGCACGGACACAAACATGGACACGAACACAGACATGGGACACGGCAATGTCCAAAAAATGGGGACACAGACACGGCGGGGCACACGGCGAATTTTATTTTATTTATTTTTATGTGTTATGTAGATTCATATTATATTCATCCTAAATCAAAATTAACAAGTACTAACATAGTAGCATTAATTCAATAAATGTAATCACTACATTTAAACAAATTAATAGATCATCCATTCATAGAAAGAGTCATAATAAACAATAACAAGAATCAAGATGAGAAGGAAAAAAATTCAACATTCAACAATATTCTTCACAAAAGCACTAAAAAAATATAAATAAAATAAATAAAATTAGCCCCGTCGTGTCCCTATATGGATTTACTGATTTTGGAGTGTCCATGCTTTATAGATTTAGAGTAATGCAAAAATTGATTAAATGATTTAATTTGTTAAGATTCAACCTACAATTAAGATTTAATGCTAAAACTAAAGTTATAAATCAAAATTAAATGTCAATATATTAAATAACTTATAAACCATAGCTTAATTTTAAAATCATGTTAAGCATAAAACTAGAAATAAAAAAGAAGTCTAGTGAAAGGAATTTTATCTTTGTAAATATTGTTTTAACTGAGGTAAGGTATGGCTTGTGTATATACTAGATACATCTGGGTACACCAAAAATTAAGAAGAAAAAATTTGAGTATGCGTTTCGTGTACCCGGTACGTATGCAGAAGTACCATACGCCGGTAAGTACCCGGTATAGGTACGGTATGTTTTTTGAAGTACCCATGTTTGACAACATAATATTAGTGCTTACCAGGTTCGAATACTTAAGACCATGGGAAGTGGCTGAATCCACTATTTGTGTTGTATTTACGCATAGTTGACACTCAGGATATTTTACATGTGTGTGATCCATGCTAGAAAGTGTATATAGGTTGAATTTTTTGAAGTGTAGAGATTGCCTATAAGATGAAATTCTTTTTTAAGTGTTGATTGCCATAATTATGTGATAACATGCTTATGTGCTCAAGTGTTTACATGCTTGCATGATTAGACTAAGTGTTGAGAATTTATGGACTTGGCATGCTTCGGTAATTGTACCTTTGTGAACACTCTTGAACGATAACTATATGAATGTTGATAGAACCCTGTTAGTTTAATGCTTTCAATTGACTAATTTTGCATATTTAGAAGGAATGAATTAGAGTATATTGATAAAATCATCTATTTTGGTTACTTTTAAGTGATGGGAGGATGATAATCAAAGAGTATGAATTTTATCAGTTTTATTGAACTATCTTGTTTTAGGTTGTATCGAGGGTCTCTTGAAATTTAATGTTTACAAATTGGTTGAGTGAGTATATGGAATGGAAGGAGATTTGGAATAATTGTCCGGAATTTAGAAATCTTAGTCATAAATGGGGATTTATTGTGAACGGGAATGTTACCAAACTTTAACCAAGCCAAATCAATAATTTACAATTTTAGAGATTGATTGATAGATATCTAAGAAGTATGGACACAAGCACAGACACGTGACATGACACGGATAGGATAGGATAGGACACGGACACATCAACACGTTAATTTTCAAAAAATATAGGACACGACACGTGGAGGACACACATGAAATATATATTTATTATATGCTATATATGTATATAAATATATCATTCAAAGATAATAAAAAATGTAATATGACACTAATTATTATAAATTTATATGGTTTTTGTTTTACTATTATATCTTAAGTTGTTTTATTCAAACTTATAATTTGTTTCATATGTGTTTAATCGATAGACACGTGTACTTAAGTGATTGACACGTGTGTCTTCCAAGTGTCTAGGTCCTTAAAAAAATTTAAAAAATAGGACACGTTTTGAAGAGTGTCAGACACGTGTCCTAAGAGTGTCCAAAGAGTGTTGGTGTCCAACAAGGATACGTCACCTTCTTAGAAGTGTCTGTGCTTTTTAGATATATGTATACCATATATGAATTTTCAAAAATTGGGTTGTTTTCAGGATTGCTAAATTTTGAGGGTTTAGAGTGATACATGAGACACCAGAATCCAACTACCTTGCGGTTGGGCTATAGGCATCATGAGTCGTGTCATCCATTATCCATGCACTTTGTAGGGTGTGGATGGGAATGTGATGGACAGGAGCATGATGGACAAAAATGTGGTAGATTTCACCTGGTAGCGACAGTAGGACTATCTACGTCATAAGCCATGTCCCGTTGTTAGCCATGCACTCGGCAGGGTGTGGATGGAAACGTGATGAACAGGAACATAATGGACGAGAACGTGGTGGTGGATACCACCTAGGAGGGGCGGTTAGGACTATTTGCATCATTAGCCGTGCACTCTGCCGGCTGTGGACAGGAATGTTATGGACAGAAATGTGGGCTCTGCCTAGTAATGGTGGTGGGACTACCTGTGTCATTAGCCGCGTTGTGTCATTAGCTGTGCATTCTGCAGGGTGTGGACGGGAATGGGATGGACGGGAACGCAGTAGTGAACAATATATGAGATTTTGGTTACACTTCTTATTTATTGTTGTTCTCTTTTTTTCAAGGCATTCAGCTGCCACTGTCAATCTTACCCACTGATTTTGAGAAGCATATCATATGCTTGTGTGAGTGTCTTGGAACATTTCACTCTTAAATATGGCTAAACTTTTAAACATGTTTTTGGAAAGAAGTAAAAAAATTAAAATAAAAGAAGCAATGTATGGTTGTCCCAAATCCTCTAGTTTATAATTTTTTTGAACTGCAAAATCTCATCATTTCTTTCTTTTGATATATAACTGCCACTGTTATTCTTTGGAAGACCAAACAGTCTCAAAAAGTGTAGAAAGTCTTTTCATTATTCTTTGGTATAACAGTTGTAGGAAGGCGGTTTTTGTTTTACCAATTAATGGCCTATGATGGTAACCCTAACCATGTATATATTTTTTTTATGATAAATAAGTAACCCTAATGATGTTATTTACACACATTTGCTTTTTCTTAATTAATCATGGCATTTGATGGAAGGAACTCTTCACCATTTACAACCATCCACAAAACCTTGAACTTCATTTTTGTAAAATTTTGCAATTCATGCCTCCATTGGCGAACTTACATATCAAATTGATTTGTATCCCTAACATACTCTTAGTCGGTATCCTGAGCAAAACCACTCTATCCTTCAAAAACACTGAATACTTGCTCATTGGTCCTTTTGAATATTCATATGGCACTAGAGACCACTATTTAAGAAATGTTTGTTCCTTCTATGAATAATGAAGGCAGATTATTCTAAAGAAGCAATGTCATTAGCAATTAAGAAAACAGTTTTAATTTCTTATCATCTTGGGAGAAAATAAATTTATAACTCTGATTGGCAGTGCACTATTGCCCTCCTGGTGAGAAGGAAATGGTGGTCACAAGCAACAGGGAAGCAATTCAGACACAAGCTGAGCCTGGATATGATCAGAGAAAAGAATTGAAAAATGATTCAAAAGCCGGTGTAAAGGGGCTTGTAGATGCCGGGGTTACAAAAATCCCGTGCATATTCATCCATGAGAAAAGCATGCTTCAAGAGACTGATATGTCTGTTGTCTCTCAGTTTAGTGTTCCAATCATAGACTTTGAAGGCATCAACAAAGGCGCAGCTCAACGTGGCAAAATCATCAACAATGTTAGAGATGCCTGTGAAAAGTGGGGATTCTTTCAGGTGGTTAATCATGGAATCCCAATGAGTATTATGGATGAAATGATTGATGGGGTTCGTAAATTTCATGAGCAAGATACAGAGGTGAAGAAACAATTCTATTCACACGATGTTACGAGAAAGTTTATATATAATAGCAACTTTGATTTGTATCAATCATCGGCAGCTAAATGGAGGGATACCATTGCTTGTATTATGGCTCCTTACCCTCCTGATCCTGAAGAACTGCCTATCGTGTGCAGGTATGTGATTAGTCTAATATTCACATGTTTGGCAAAAAAAAAGGTTGAAACTAGTATTTTTGCAAGACAAATTTTTGGACATGTTTATGGGGAGTTCTTTTGATTTATATCCATTTTTTCCCCACATTTTGTGATGAGCATAGATCTTTAGTTCCAAATTGCAATTGCTTTATGGAGGTCTACATGAGGATAACCAAGCAAAAGTTAGGAGTTCTCGTTCTCAACTCATGCTTGCATTTGACTCTCCCCAAACCCTGCAGTGGGAGGCACCTTTTGCACTTGGCCATTTAATCATTCAAGGATGTTACTCATAATGCAAAGTTACTGATTCTTCTCTTTTTCTTTTTTGCTAGGTAATCAATAATTCAATCAATCAGAAATAGAATGTAGAGATTTCTTCAATATTTTTGTAGAGATTTGCTAAGATGAACACAACGGCCGATTGTCATGACCATTCTGGATGTGCTTCCAGGAACTTATTCTTGCCCTTAAATCTTCCTTACTTCCGAACAATCTATGCATTTGATAAATAACCATCCATTACCTTCAAATAATTTATCACTTCAATCAGTCTTTGTTTGTTTGTTTTTGTCTTTTTTATTTTTTAAAAAGTAAAATTTTATTTTTGAACTACTAATACTAGAAGTGCTAAAATTATTTGTAATCCTATTTTTTAAACAAAAATTGGGGCCTAAGGAGACAACCTTGTATGCCTGCCCTCAAGGCCGACCCTATACCAAGTGGAGCTTCCCAAGCAATTTTTGTTAGAATAAATTCCATTAGAGGCTTGAATCCAAATAACTTTACTAGTACTAGAAGTGCTAGAATACTTCAATCAATGGCTGAACGATATCGCAAAGCTTGAACAATTTCCCCACAGTCAAGATGAGTCAGGAGACTTAATGAATTTGTTTAACCTGTTTTACACCTCAACTTGTCAATACATATAACCTTTAGAGAAGCCTATTGTGTGCAATTACCAAGTGTCTTTGAAGCACTATCTGTGATTTATTTATGTCTACTCAAGTTGCAGAGACATATTGATAGTGTACTCCAAGTACACGATGAGAATGGGGCTCACTCTGCTAGAATTGCTCTCAGAGGCCCTTGGCCTTAACCCTGATCACCTGAAAGACATGGATTGCACTGAGGGGCTTTTCTTCGTGGGTCATTACTACCCTGCATGCCCTGAACCAGAATTGACTTTGGGTACTGACAACCATGCTGATAGTGGCTTCATTGCTGTACTTCTACAAGACCAAGTGGGTGGCCTCCAAATCCTTCACGACAATCAATGGGTTGACGTTACCCCTCTGCCTGGAGCTCTAGTAGTAAACATTGCTGATCTACTGCAGGCAAGTCTATACACACATACTGAACTTGATGATTTGTTTGTCTTGCTATTTCTTTGCATCACCGCTATATCCACTGAATTTGCCCTAATGAGACTCTTCCCGGTAAGAGTTTTTCATTTTGGAAACTCACGGGAGATTCTTCCCGAGAAGAGCTCATTCGGGCTGAAAAAATTCGGTAGATGAATCATTAATTTCTTTGAGAGGGAGGGTATCACTTGCCTTCATATGACTCGAATCTACTCTCTTTTAATAGTTGTGGCCCCGAGGGTGTAACTTACACTCCGTTTGTTTTGGTCGAAAATATTGGAAAACTTTTCCTATGTTTGATTGCAACCATATAAACTGACGTGTTACGGGTGCGGGTACGGATACTGGTACGGATACAATACGGGTACGCTGATACGACAAGATCTTAAAAAAATAGGATATGGGTACAGCTGGAGTACATTAATAAATCTTTTATTTTTTTTATAATTTATAGTTTGAACTTCAATCTACGAATCATAGTTCAAAATTAAAAGGAGAAATTACAAAACCAATAGAAAAATCATAGTTTAACAATACCAATATCAAAGCAAAGTCTATAAACTATACAAAATAAAGTTTCATTCCAAAAGGAAGCAAAATTTAAACTTGAAACTTTAGTTTTCACTTCCATCAATTTCATCATTGAATAATACAGCTTTCATCTCTGGCACATCAAGTAAAGAACTCTCTAATAAATTAAGCGCATCCCTACCAATGCCTCATAGTTTAGTGTACTCCTGATGTATCCATGAAGTACCCGTAGAGTACCCAACTGCCAAAAAACGTATAAAAAGTATTTGGTACGTATTTCAAGTACCCGGTATGTATGCAGCCCTATCGATACGAATAGTAGTACCCAGTTAGTATCCAGTACGAGTGCGGCAATATTTTCAGAGTATCCATGCTTCATAGTGTGCTAGTGGTTATGATAGTTATTGATGCAGACCAAATTTTAGTAATATTATTTTTTTATTTTTAAATCATAAGTTAACTTGGAATATTATATTTTTATTTTTATTTTTATTTAAATTATTGGTTAATTAGGAATATTTAATTTAGTATAGAATAGTATAGATTTGTTTAGTTTCTTAATTTGATTTGATACAATTTTCCTATTCTATTTGCTTTGATTATTTTCATTTCCTGTTTTATTAGTTTTTGTTCTCCAAGAAGTAGGTTTGTAAATAAGATTGTAAGCCTTAGGGCTATTCAGTTTAAGTTTATATTTGATTAATAAAAATCGAAAGTTTTTCAATGTTGTTCATTCTTAGAGAGAGAGTATCTCTAGTTCGGATTTGTTCATGGTTCGATCTTGTTGTTTGCTTACCTTTTCGATTTGCTTCCCTGCATAGTGGTCGTGGTAGTGGTGGTGTTGGGTGATGGTAGTGGGGCAGTGGGGAGTGGTGGCTTTAGTGTTGGTGTTGACAACGGTGGACGGTTGAAAAGGTTTTCTACGCTATTAAGCTTGTTTTACATTTTTCAATGAAAACTTTTTGTGTTGACTTTTATTTTTTGTTAAACCAAACACTAGCAAATACGAAAAACATTTTCTACTAGAACAAATGGAGCATTAAAATCTATTTGATCGTAATTTCCTAGCCCAAAAATTAGGGGAGCATAAAGCGGATAGAGTAACCAGTGATGCCAAATGTGGGAAGTGTCAATATAAAAGACTTCATTTGCAATTTTTCTTGATATTGATGCCTCAAGTTATAATTGTTTGATTTATACATGTGCTGATAAAATGCTTAAGCATGTCCATGCTTTCTATTGAAATAATTCGTTCTTTAGCATTGACGTAGTAATTGCAGCAATGAACAATGATAGAAGCCTATGTATAAACAATGATTAGTTATATGCATGTATTCTTCTTGTTATTTTATTTTTTTTTTTTTGAAGATAAAGCATGTAATTATTTTAGTTTTTCATGTTTTCCATTATGCAGCTCATCACAAATGACAAGTTCAAAAGCATCAACCACAGAGTACTCGCAAAAAATGTAGGTCCAAGAATCTCTGTGGCAAGTTTTCTTAGAACACATTTTTGTGAAGGGGTTACATCAAGAGTGTATGGGCCAATCGAAGAACTGCTATGAGAAGAAAATCCCCCAATCTATAGGGAGACCGCGATTAGAGAATTCATCACGCACTATTTTAAGAAAGGGCTCGATGGAACTTCCTCACTGTCACATTTCAAGTTGTGTAAGTAGGCTATAGAGATTGGGGGGTAGGTCTTGGTTTGGTTACAGTTAATCAATTCATAGAAGAGAAACAGTTATACTTGATGTTGATGCTGAAACAAGAAAAATATTTTGAATATGATTGGAACAAGTTTCATGTTTGATAGCTGCAAAACAAATGGCTTATGCATTTTGCAAATCAAATAGTTTTCTGCATATGTTTTGGATGATGTTAATGCTCGTACCTTTTAGGGCAAATTATATATACCCCCTCGAGATTTAGCAAATTACAGATACCCCTGAGGTTTGGGAAGTTACAGATACCCCCTGAAGATACTATTTACATAACAAATTAGGGGGTAAATTGTTATGAAAATATAAACCTCAGGGGACAATTTGTTATAAAAATATAAACCTCAGGGGGGTATTTGTAATTTTTGAAACCTCAGGAGTATCTGTAATTTAGCTAAACCTCGAGAGAGGTATATGTAATTTGCCCTACTTTTTAGCAGATGAATACATCAATGCTATTGGGATGAATATTACTAACATATATTATCTTCTTTTTTTGTCCCAAATATAGTTTTGACTTAATTTATAATAAATAAATAAGCATGCATCTCAAGACAAATTCTATCTCGTCATGTCCAAGTTATTGGAGGAAATTAAATGCCGTGTATTTTTTTAAAAAATTGATGATTATCATGACCACAACAAAAAAAAAAAATGATTTATATTTTCATCATGACCACATCAAAAAAAAAAAAATGATTTATATTTTCTTAGATATTCAATATTAACAGAACTGGTTGTCGTTTGGATTATGCTAGATTTTGTATTAGAAAAGTTGTCAGTTAAAAAAGAAAAGCAAAATTGTAAGAAGTTAGTCGACAATAATATTTTTACTGAAATAATAAAGGGCAAAATTAATTTGCCATTGTCTTTAGCTGGTAATAAAGATATACTATCTTGTGTTATGAACATTAGTATCAATTTATCCATCAATTATTATTATTATTATTTTTCATATTATCATTATTCTTTATTATTATTCATTTTAATTATTTTTAGTAATATTTTATTTTTTTATTTTTAGTAATTCATTTATTCATTTGACAAATCCTTTCATTTTTTTCAATTTATATCATTTTTTTTAGTGATATTTCATTTTTAGTAAAATTATTTCATTTTTTTATTATAAATTAATTAGTGTCAATTAATAGATTAATTAGCATCAATTAATACTAAAATTTTTAATTAGTATCAATTAATATAAAATTATTTCATTAATGGCTAAAATGCTTAATTATTATTATGATTTTTTAATTAAAAAAACACTAAAAACTTCAACCAAAAAAAAATACAAACCGCACTAAAATCCATCACCGGAGAGAGAACCGCAGTCGATCGACGACGAACCAACACCGGATGACGACGGATGGTCGATCGTCACGCAGTCGATCGTGACTCTAGGGTTTCAGATCGAGATCGCGATCGATCTAAAAGAGATCTGGTTTGCCTCTCGCCAGAAATTGCGAAGCTAGGGTTTCGATCTCTAAGAGAGAGAGAGCACTGGTTCGCGAGAGAGAGAGAAAGAAAGAGAAAGAGAGAGAGCACTGGCTAGCCTCTCGCCAGAAATCGCCTCTCTCTCTCTCTCTCTCTCACAGAGAATGAACAGTGATACTTGGTGGTTTATATAATGGCAATTTGGTAATACTTCAAATTAGTAAAGGGCATTTAAGTAATTTTGCCCCTCAATTTTGTAGCTTCCCGCTTAAGCTGATGAGTTAAGCACCCCAAAGGCCACTCAGCCAAAAAGCTCTTTTTTGGCTTAATTTAAGTTACAAAAAGTGATTTTAAGTTTTACCAAAAACACCAAAACAGCTTAAAATAATTTATAAGCTGATTTAAGTTGTTTATAAGCTCTATCAAACACCACTATTGGCCCTGTTTGGTAGAGCTGTAGGAAAGTGCTTATAGCTTATGCCTCAACAGCTTATAGCTTATAACTTTCAGCTTAAGCTGATTTCCAGCTTATTTTTAAAACATCTCCTGCCCTACTCAAAGAATAAGCTGATTTCTGACTTCCAAAAAGCTATAAGCTAAACTAAACACATCAAAATAGCTTAAATTAAACTGAAAGCTAAAATAAGCTGTAATTAAGCTCTGCCAAACAGGCACATTGTAGCTTTCATTAAAACATAGTGGACATGTGGGGGACAACCGGCCAGTCGACCGGACATGGAAAATGAAATTTTTTTTTCCCTCTGTTTCCCTAATTTGTTGCTTGAAATCACTGTCTTCTGGGATTATAAAACCTCAACTTGAATTCTGCAAACATGATGGTAAGGTTAATGATTGACCCAAAGAACACAACATAACTCTAATATTTTGCAAACCCATGTCAAGGAACAGAGACATTGTAATAACTGACTACAATTTGATAAACAAAAACATAGAATTTATGAACAGATTGAAGGAATTGAAGGAGAAAAACGCACCTAATGTGAAAAAGAACGTGAAGATGGCAGAGAATATATTCCCAATAATCACAGAAATCGCAAATCCGAAGAAGTCTCTAACCTTTTCTACCAAATTCCCAAACGAAAATGAAGGAGATGCAGAGGACGAGAAAGGCAAAGAATGAGATGGGTATCCATAAACCTCCATCGATTACAAATCAAACAAGTGGGTCGCAGGTTTGATTCAAAGATGAGTCTAGTTCAAGCAAACCCAGCAAGATTTATGCGTGTATATGTGAATATTCACATACCACACATACACACATACGATTATATATATATAAGAAAAAAAGGAAGAAGAGGTAAAAGAAAAGGTTTTAGAGACTTGTTGTGTAAAAAGGAATTGGGGAACAACTTGGCTGTTGTTGTTTATTTTATGTGTAATCCGGACGACCAGGGGTGTAAACACCTCATTTTTAACTCACCTGCAAGATTCAGACGCTTGGTTTAATGCACTCAATGATGAAGATGAAGAAGAAAGAGAAAGGTAATGTTGAACGGTTTATTTCACTTTTAATCCCTAAATTTTATATTATTGTTTTATTTATTTTTAAATTATTAATTACAATTTATTTATATTCAGGTACTCTAATTAAAGATTATGGTACAAATTAATAACTAATGAATTTAATTTAATTGTCAAAAGGATTATTTTGAAATTTGAACAATTTAATTATATTAATTAAACACCCATCAAATTAGTTGTAAGGTGTGATTTGTTCAAAATAGTTTTTTTTTATAAAAAAAATAAAACTCCGATGAAATGGCCTTTGATAGGGCCGCGTGGAGAAGAAGGATTCATGTAGCCGACCCCATTTGATGGGACTTAAGGCTTCGTTTGGTTTGGTATATATAAAAAAATAAGAATGTTTAGTTCTATATGGTTTAAGTTTTTAAAATTTTAGCCAAAAAAATGTTGTTTAAATTTTAAAATAATTTTTTTGTCCATCAATGAAGCCTCAACGGTTATTGATTTGTCAGTTATCTTTAATTTTTTATTATTATAAATAATCAAATTTTATTAGAAAGCATCAAGATGATACAATGAATACAGAAAGAGGCCCACAAAAGGCTAAAACTAACCAATCAAATTTTCAACAAAATCAACATGTGTAGTTAACATGTTTCATGAAAATCACAATTTAAAAATAAAGTTGAATTTTGAAAAGTAAACTAAGGGGTTGGTTGGGATGAATTAAATAAGTACATTTTTTGAATTTTTAGATAAAAAAATACAGAAAAAAAATATGGTTGTTTGTGATAACTTTTTATGAAAAAATATGTATTAAAATATTGTATAAAATAACTAAATTACAATATTACCCCTAAATATATAAATGCATACTGACATCCCTTGTACCATGAAGCCAGTACTATATGCTGCATATTTCAGAACTGGACAGTGCCTCCAGTCCGAGCACAACACAGGACGGTGCTGTTCGGCCCGTGAGGGCCCACCACAGGTCCCGTTTTGATAATCGAAACCGTTCAATGTGTAGAACTTGTCGAGTACTATATTTTTGTAAAAAAATCACGTTAATCAGATATCGATAGCTACCTGATCGAATTAGTTTTTTGTCAACCGTTAATTTGTCCAACATTCATTTTTTTATACAAAACTGATTTGATCATATAGTTATTGATATCTGATCAATGTATTTTTTACATACATATAGAACTCGACAAGTTCTACACATTAAACGGTGCAAATTATCAAAACGGGGCCCGTGATAGGCCTCCACTGGCCGAACAGCACCGTCTTGTGTTGTGCACCACCTGCGTAATTTGTACCATCATTTGAGACTTTTTTTTTTTTTAAGCAAACATCACTTTAGACTGTACCATTGTCATGTCATAGAAAGTTGGCTCTTTTTTTTTTTTTTGTGAATAGTGATAACTTTTTGACTTTTTATTTTTATTTTTTATAACATGCCAAATCAGCCCTAAATACTACCAATGTGTTTCCAAAACTGTACGGACATATATACTGGGGGTATTACACCCCACTGATGATAAGGAAAAAATAATAATAATAATTTTATTAAAAAAATTATAAATTTAATTATTAATATTTATAAAATTTTTCATTAATTTGTAATTATTTTTTTCACATCTCACTGTGATATTTCCCCTTTTTTTTATTATCATATGTACTATATATAGAAGGGAAATTTTACCAAAATATGATTTCTAATATTGCAATGCATATATGCATTGACATTTTTTTTTTCCTGAAGAAATGAAGTGAACTCGATTGACTTGACTATCAACCATACTTTGGTAATCAAAACCCTAATCATTGTTTTGTGGTCTGTAGAACCATTGTATCTAGAATTCTCGTTCAAACATTTCTGAAGTTATAGGCTAGTTTTATCTTCACATAAGAAGACAAATAACACTCACCAAAAAAAAGAATAAAAATTAATATCATAACTTATCACATTTTGTTTTCTTGAAGAAGTGAAGTGAACTCGATTGACTTGACTATCAACCATACTTTGGTAATCAAAACCCTGGTCATTGTTTTGTGATCTATAGAACCACTGTATCTAGAATTCTCGTTCAAACATTTCTGAACTTATAGGCTAGTTTTATCTTCACATAAGAAGACAAATAACACTCACCAAAAAAAAGAATAAAAATTAATATCATAACTTATCATATATTTTTTTTCTTGAAGAAGTGAAGTGAAGTGAACTCGCTTGACT